CCTGAAGATTCTTGATTCTGCATCTCCGTGTGAGATGGTCATTGAACGATTTTGTAACCAACCAAAAATCCATCGGCGAAGTTTCAGAGGTATATTTAGTTCTTCAAGTGTTTTCATTAGTGCTGGATACCACCTACGGCCAAACGCTGTGGGAAAATCAACGAAGATCACCAGGGCTGGGCGGTTACAAGCCGCTACAGTTAACCGGAGATCCTCAGCTAGAGAGAGAATACGAGTTTGGAGCCGTTGATTACTCGTAAAATCGGACTGTTCATCTATATTTACCCCACTATCTAAGCACCACTTCGTGATTCTCTCTGCTATGATACTCTCAAACCATTTGCCTAAGTTCGGTAGCAGGGATATTGATCGTAATTTGTCCGCAGATGGATAAATTCCATCTTTGGACAGACATATTCCTTTCGCCCTCTTAGCTCGCTCAAAGAAGTCCCCCTTGCTTGCGCACTTATTAAAGAGAACTGTGACAATATTAAAATATTCAGGTGGGGATTCTTCAAGAGGAAGGCTGAAGTGTTTGTACTATCCAGACTCTTTTTAGGTTTAAATTTTTTCCATTGTTTAATAACGTCGTCAAGTGAAATTTTGTCAAGAGGAATATTCGGAGTATAAGACAGAGCTGTATACTCTTCTAAGGATTTTGAAGACTTTAAAGACTTCAAGAGAGAATTTATCTGTTACTCATCTTTCTTCTCTCGTCCGGAACATTTGATGCGGTGTTACTCACATTACTTATCGAAAAGTTAAAAAAGTGAACGTTTTGAGCAATAACAAGAAAAATAATAATAACAGATCTTTATCAACTGCGATAACATTATCGAAAATGTCATAATTTAATAATGAAACAAAACTGAACATTAGAATTTCTGTGCCTTCGTTAATACGGCTATTTGGTTCAACATATTATGTGTATGCATTTGACATTGATAGCAATTAAATAAACTTCTCTAAACCAGAATCTGTTGACCTTTATGCGTGTGAATAAGAGTAACTTTAAAAAGAAGAATGAATAAAATATCTATTAGATATCATATTGCAGTTAGATGACGCTAGTGAATGGCCAAAAATGTCGCAGATATAGCCCTTAAATAGCGCTTTTGTTTTCAAGAGGTATGATTGGTGATAGAAAAAGTCATAAATAAGAATTAAGATCTTTCTTACATACTAACTTACACACACATAACCATTTATACGATTGTTTCGCGCTACTAGTCAATTTTTCCTGTATGTTAGATCTTGGGCTCGTTTCACAAAAAACCTTAAGTTAAGGAACTTAACAGTTTACGGAATCTGACCGGAGTTGCTAAGGAGCAACACCAATCAGATTTCTTAACTCAGAGTTAACTCACGGAGTGTAGTCACGGTATAGGCCTTGTTCACACTACAAAAGTTAAAGAGTATTAACGAATCTGATTAGTCGATAAAAGCTTAAGCCGTCACGAAAACATGACTTAAGTTGGAATTAAGGATGCTGATTGGTTGTAAAATTAATTTAGATCAGTATAGTCTGAACAATGCCTAAGAGCTGACAACCATTGAATGAAAAAATCTATGATTGGACAAATCATAAGATACTCATTCATCACAAAATTATGACCAATTGATAAAATATGAATGCGTCAGTCTAGATCTAAACTAGTCAAATGAAGGCATCCATAAATTTCTACTGTTAACAGAAAATTTGAGAATTCAGCTTTTTGATATTAGAGATTCATGGATAGCGTCTATGAATACCTTCATCTGGTTGACTAAAGTTTTGTTCAAATTTTTTATGTAAAATGTAGTTTATATGATGGAGAAGACACTAATCTCTTAAAAGAAAAAAACATCTTATCCTCATCAGAATTTTAGTTTGAGCCACATTTTTGTTTTCTTATGCTGATATTTTGTATTTTACACATGCTTTACTTGATAACTGCACTTTAAAATTTTCAGAAACACAATACAAACCTCATTCATCCCTGAAGCCCACGAGTAGTTTCCTGTAACTTCAAAGACTAACTGCTAATTGATTAAGGGAGAATAGTAGTAAAACTCAGTTAGTCCAAGTCGGGGATGTCTATCCTGTGGGACGTTTGAGGCACCATGCCTCAAACAACGTAAGGTGGTACGCTTTTTTGCTATAGAAATTCATTTTTCAGGTGGTACACTAAGAGATCTAACATCCGAGGTGGTACAAAATGCCTTAAATATTTAGGTGGAGATAGACGCCCCTGGTCCAAATCATCCATAAGGCTATGGATATAATTGATGGATGACCTCAATCGTACTCATTCAAATGCTATCTCTTTGAAGTGATATTAAATACGTTAAACAATTTACAAACCTCAGTTAATTCAATACAAAAAATTAATAAAAACTGAACAGGTGTTCATGAAATTGCATCACTCATTTTGACTATTACTTTTTTTTCTTGAAAACTGAATTTTCACACATTTTTTAGCAGATCTCTGTTAGTTGCTGTTTTTCTAAGAAACTAGAATATGTAGCAGTAGTCTTCTCGAGGTGTTTTTTTTTTATTAATGATAGCATAAATGTTCGCATGTGTATGTTATGATCATACATCATTTAATGATAAGTGTTAATTGTAGGAGTACGCTTTTTGTATGTCCCTCATCTTTGGCCAAAATACATAAACTTACCAAGTTTTGGTATACTCATACTCTTTTTTTCTACCACTATACGGATCAATCGTAAAAATTTGATTCTTTGAAGAAAAGTCAGAACTCAACAATCTCCCAAAAATGTGTTCTGTTAAATGTGTTGAATTTGTTGTAATTCACTACGTAATATTCAAGTAAATTTCGTGCATATCCTTGAAACTACCTCTCGTAAAACTGGAAAAAAATGAAAAAGTAAAGGATTATTATGAAAAATATGTTCAAAAACCGCCGAGCTTGACAACATAGTTAAAACAGTCTACTCTCTGGTTTTCGAAAAATAAATATTTTTTAAAAGTGGAAGAATTCTATACTTATAGAAAAAGTTATCATCTATCTATATCTACGGAACGAAAACTGGACCAGTATGAATGACTCCTCGTAGTTCCTTATTATAAATCTGACTCATATTATAGATATTTTCAGTATAGATTTAAGATGACACGTGGTAAAAGAGGAGGCTATGTTTATCAGAGAGGTCGTCATTCAGCACAAAGGTAATCCAAATGCTTTCGAAATTACCACACCACAAACTTGTGCATAAATTTTTTGTTATAGAACACCGCATCTGTCTTATATCTTCGATTTTCTCAGTGTAAGTAAGACAAGAATATTCAAGAATCGTAGAATTAATTCAGACTTGCTCTTTTTTGTAATCTTGTAGAGCCCCGAATCATTTCCGGCAATTAAAGAACCAAGCGACGATAAATCATTGTTAGAGGTAGATACCAAAACAAGCCGATATACAGTTGTTAGCAAAATAAACTGACCGATTATTTACTTTATTGTAGGACATCATGGAACGAAATCAGTATTTGACTCTAGAACAATCAGAAAATTTTTTGTTAATGAATTTTACAAATAAAGTTCAATTAATACTTGATCAATTAGTGCTTCAATCAGGTTCATTTACGGGATGTGTAAGTTAATGTTATTAAAAATATTATCTTATTATATTAAATTTTATTATTTTTCCTTTCTAGCAATTAGAAGAAGTACGACAAATTGGATCGTTCAAACATGGCACATTAATTAGGAAACCGAATAATGTAACGACAGGTTTATTAGCGGATATTGCCGTTATCTTCAAAACATTACCAACAAGTAAAGTAACATGTCGATAAGTAAATTCGAAATCTTTTAAAAAATATTTTTGTGTATGTTTCAGAAGAAGCTATTTCACAACTTTCTCTCAAATTACTAGAAGACCTTCGTCCACTTTGTACAGAAGAAGAATCGAGAAGTAAGTAAAACGCTTTGCTTACATTTTTACAATATATTTTTTTTCTCTCTATTTTTTACTTTAGCATTGACATACGAGCTGACAGATTATGGTTTTAGCATAATCAATAACCTGATGCATGTAAATTTGTTTGTTACAACGTTACCAAAAAATTTTAATAGTTTAGACCCTAATTTACATTTGGATCGTAGAATTTGTTTAAGAAATTCGAATGCTATTAGACATGCAAAATGGATCGATGATAATTGTGTACATCCATCTATAAAAGTATTAATTCGTTTATTGAAAGATATGCGAAATCGGTTTTCTGGTTTTAATCAATTAAATTCATGGATGATCAATCTACTGGCTCATCATAGTGTCATGAATTGGGGTAAAGATGATCCACTACCACTGAGTTTTGCATTCAAGTATGCATATGAAACAAATTTTAATTTTTCACTTGATAGATCATAATTTTTTTGTTCATTTAGACGCATTCTTCAACTATTAGCAAGTGGAATATTTTTACCTGGATGTATGGGTCTTCAGGATCCGTGTGAAGATACAATGTTTCCTGTTCATTTACAGCTAAGTCTAAAAGGTTTAGATAACATATGTTCAACAGCTCAAACCCTATTAAGAGCATTGGCATTTGGCGCTCAAAAATATATACTTGGAATTGAAACTGTGCCAGGTAAATTGGAAGTCAGTTTCTGATAGTTTCGGAAAAGTCAACCCGTGACCATCTCACATTTGATATTTGAATAAGCCATTCGGTTGAGCATTAAGTTGACATTGAAACCTGATAATATAGACTATAGCCGACTTTTTCTGAAAAAGTTATAGAAATAATCAAATTTCAGCTAAAAACACCCAGAATATATTGGCTTTTTCGAAAAAAATTTGTTTCTCAACAACCCTTTGGCTTTTAAAAGAGCTGTTGATACGGATAGATAGAGGGGACTATGAACTACACGACTATCAATATTAGATATCTCTGGATCGAATTATGTATCACATAAAAAAGTTTATCTATCGATTCAAATCTGTCCTGGATTTTAACTCGAACAATTACCTAAAGGGGGTCAGGACAGATTTGAATCGATAGATAAACTTTTTTATGTGATACATAATTCGATCCAGTTTTTATGCTGATCACGAATCCGCTATTTATTTTGAATAAAAATGCTTATTAGTTGAGATAATGGGCTGATCAGGATTAGAAAATCATCAAAAGATGAGTAAAAGTCCATTTTTTTAGGTTGTTCAAAAGTCTGCAGTTTTTAAGATAATTCCAGATAGATCAGATTCTGCTTTCTCTCTAATCAAAGAAAAGTGTACATCTTTAGTTTGGGTCAAGATGTTTTTGAACCAGAGAAAGGAGGTATCTAATATTGATAGTCGTGTAGTTCAT